AAATAAATATTAAATGCACATATTTTTGCAGGTAAAAAAAAAAATGTGCATTTATTTTTTTTTTTTTTACATCGCAGCCTTTAAAGGATTACACCTATGATCAGCAGTCTGCGGGTGCCATGCCAGGATCCTGCAGAATCTAAGTAAGCTGTGTGCCATACCTCCGATACGGGCATGCAGTTATTGAATGGCAGGGAGAATGGAACTATCAGAGTGCTCACCAGCGCCCTCTAAGTTCCTTGAGAATTACAAGCTGTCAGCCATAATGGCTGATGGTATTTGTAGTATACTCATTCACAGATAACACAACCGCACTGTTTTCAAATTGTGTGCAGGGAGCAGATCGCCTGTCCGCTGTCACAAGATAGGGAGCACTGGCTGGGGGAGGTGGCTGCATAGGAGCATGTTACATATTACACCTTAAATATGGGTGTAGCACGTAGCATGCTCCTAAAGGTGAACTTAGCTTTTAAGTAGATATTTCAATAAAATATATTTCTATAATTCTGGAAAACCTCTTTGGCTGATAACAATTTTAGCCACTTCTGTTACTTGAATTTCTATTGAAAAGACTGTTTTTGGCAGCCAGTGGTTAACCCTTAGAGGACCGTAAGATTTTGGAACGCCAAAAGAATCAATTTTTTTGTTTTTAAAGTTCGTACACTTCAGTTGCTGTAACTAAGCCATTTCATTAAATAATTGGCAAAAAGCTAGATCCATTTGTTGTTTGTTGATAAGAACTAATATTTTGATTCAAACCAAAAATTTTTTAAAAAAAAAGAGTTTTAAATTCTTAATCAGATGATACACGCAATTAAAAACATGGGACAAATACGTCCCTTGGTCCTCAAAGGGTTAAAGAGTGCTAGCATTTTCAGAATACATCCTTTAACTGCTCAAGTCCTGATCTTGTTACACACCATATTCTGAGCCCAATACAAAACACCTTGGGTTTTCGTTTCTTGTATTTAAATGTTTCAGACTCTGTATCTCATGGTTTGGGACTTTTAATTTACCCCTCGACCCATCTTTTATTAAGTGTCCGGCTTTCAAGCAATACTTTATATCACACCCATACACATGTATACTTTATATAATCTGTCATCAACATAGGCAACTCAACCAACATAACCTTGATAATTTCTATAAAAGCTAAGCTTGACCCTGCCTCCCTATCACTCAGTAAGGGCCCTTTCACACGGGTGATCTGGTCAGATCCTCCTGTCAGCTTTTCAGGCAGACCTGATTGGAAGGTCCAAGCATTCTTTAGGACTGGCAGGTGTAAACAGACTTGCGTCCGTTTACAATCACCTACCTCTGGGTCTGATCAGGCCCTAAAAAAAAAAAAAAAAAAAAAAAAGGAGGAGGATGCATCCAATTCCATTTGAGTAGCTTGGATCATAGGCAGCAGGGTGTAAAACAGACAGCGGAATCCATTTATTCCCGGCTGCCCATCGAGCAGAGAGGGGTCTGTCTGTGTCTGAGTAGACACAGGTCTGTTATCCGCCCTACTCTGATCAGCAGGGGATCTGTAAGCAGATCCCCTGCTGATTGTACAGTAAACCACGCCTGTGAATGGGCCCTAAGGCCACGCATTACATTACATCAAATCTCTTCCTGTGTAGTCTGTCCCTAGTTCTTTAGGTGTTCACCATGCAACATGCCTGCTGAACCCTAAAAAGAGTACTAGTTCCAGAGACAGTAATTATTTCTCTGTACTGTATATAGTGGAATTCTCAGAGACCTTAACACCTCCCGCGCCATTCTTCTTCTTTACTACCAAGCTGCTGAGATCATTAGAGCTGCCACTCAGGAAACATGCAGACAGACAGCAGCACTGAATTTGTGTTAATTGTTCTTGTTATCTCTTTCCCTCTCATTTCAAAAGCTGTGTACTTTCATTGGTAGTCCAATTTGAAATTTCAGTTCGTGTACCAAAACAAAGTATCACACATAAAAAAAAAAAAAAAAAAAAAAAGGATATACACTTTATTGCCAAAAGTATTGGGACACCCCTCCAAATCATTGAATTCAGGTGTTCCAATCACCTCCATGGTCACAGGTGTATAAAATCAAACAACTAGGCATGCAGACTGCTTCAATTCGTTATTCTAACAAAAATTTCATTTTTTGAAATTTGGATGTACACTATATTGCCAAATGTATTGGGACGCATCTCCAAATCATCGGATTCAGGTGTTCCAATCACCTCCATGGCCACAGGAGTATAAAATCATCACCTAGGCATGCAGACTGCTTCTACAAACATTTGTGAAAGAATGGGTCGCTCTCAGGAGCTCAGTGAATTCAAGCGTGGTACTGTGATAGCTTGCCACCTGTGCAAGTCCATCTGTGAAACTTCCTTGTTACTAAATATTCCACGGTCAACTGAGTGGTCTTATAACAAAGTGGAAGCAACTGGGAACAACAGCAACTCAGCCACGAAGAGGTAGGCCACGTAAAATGACAGAGTGAGGTCAGCGCATGCTGAAGCGCACAGTGCGCAGAAGTCACCAACTTTCTGCAGAGTCAATAGGTAAAGACCTTCAAACTTCATGTGGCCTTCATATTAGCACAACAACAGTGCGTAGAGAGCTTCATGGAATTGGAGTTCATGGCTGAGCAGCTGCATCCAAGCCTTACATCACCAAGTGCAATGCAAACCGTCAGATGCAGTGGTGTAAAGCATGCTGCCACTGGACTCTAGGGCAGTGGAGACGTGTTCTCTGGAAGGACGAATCATGCTTCTCTGGCAATCCAATGGATGTGTCTGGGTTTGGCAGTTGCCAGGTAAAAGGTATTTGCCTGACTGCATTGTGTCAAGTATAAAGGTTGGTGGAGGGGGGATTACGGTGTGGGGTTGTTTTTCAGGGGTTGGGCTTGGCCCCTTAGTTCCAGTGAAGGGAACTCTTAAAGCGTTAGTATACCAAGACATTTTGGACAATTCCGTGCTCCCAACTTTCTGGGAACAATTTGGGGATGGCCCCTTCCTGTTCCAACATGACTGCGCACCAGTACACAAAGCAAGGTCCAGGCCTCAACCCGAAAAAAACACCTTTGGGATGAATTACAGCGGAGACTTCTCATCTGACATCAGTGCCTGACCTCACAAATGCGCTTCTGGAAGAATGGTCAAACATGCCCATAGACAAACTGCTAAACCTTGTGGACAGCCTTCCCAGAAGAGTTGAAGCTGTTATAGCTGCAAGGGGTGGGTCAACTCAATATTGAACCCTACGGACTAAGACTGGGATGCCATTAAAATCAATGTGCGTGGAAAGGCAGATGTCCCAATACTTTTGGCAATATAGTGTGTATGTATGTATAAATAAATATTATTTATATATTTACACATGTACATAGCCACAGTAAGTGGCTTGTAGTAAGATACAGTTATGTTTCTGTAAGGAACTGCAACATCCTGTTACATGATCATGAAGTCTGACTTCTGAGTCTGAAAGGCAATTCACAATATATGAACTGGGTTGCCCTGGACAGCCTTGCCCAACGATGGACCAATGCATAGACAAGGCAATCTGCCTTATGTCCTAATAGTTCAGCTCACACCACTGTGCTGTGGTGCTATTGCCATCTGTTACCACACTTTCAAAAATGAAGACACAAAGAAACATTAGGCAGAGCCAAGACTAACCTGATCTGCTCAGTCTTAAGCCTAGTACACACGATCAGAAAATCATACAAAAAATACCACTTTCAAAGCGATCGTATGGTAATCTGATGGTTAGTACACAGCTTTCGTTTGAAATTATTTGAAGGGACAAGCACAAAACTTTTTCTTGTACGATACAAGATAGTACAATTTTCATTCAATCAGTCCAATTTTCATCCAAAAATACAATCCAAATACACTACATCCCTTCCTAATTTTTATTCTGTAGTACAAGAATTTTCGTAACTTTAGTAACCTCTTCATTTTGAATATGAGACCAGCATGCAAAAAAACATGGACAATCAGCCCGATATTCTCATCGTGCATACAGGGCTTTAGGAAAAAATAGTAGTTAAAAAAAAAGTTTACCATTTGCAAGGTGAGTAGAGGAGGCGTGGTACAAAACAGATGTGTTGTAGAAAAACTAGACACCTGAAAACTAGGTGCAGTCCATAGCTTAAAGTGATCGGAAAGGCTCTATCAACACTGTCCGGGACAGAGGTCAGGGGTCCTGTATCCTCCTAGAGCAGAATGAAAACCTTCCTAACAAGCTTTAACATGTGCTTGGCTGGATACTGATAGAAGTCACAAGACTGCTCTAACTGCTGAGAAAAAGGTAACGTATTTTTCGGTCCATAAGACGCACCTAGGTTTTAGAGGCAGAAAACAGGAAAAAAAAATTCTGAACTAATGGACTGCAGACATAGTACAGGAGATGACCAGAGACTGCGGACAGTACAGCAGGAGATGACAGAGACTGCGGACAGTACAGGAGATGACCAGAGACTGCGGACAGTACAGGAGATGACCAGAGACTGCGGACAGTACAGGAGATGACCAGAGACTGCGGACAGCACAGGAGATGACCAGAGACTGCGGACAGCACAGGAGATGACCAGAGACTGCGGACAGTACAGGAGATGACCAGAGACTGCGGACAGTACAGGAGATGACCAGAGACTGCGGACACAGTACAGGGGATGACCAGAGACTGCGGACATAGTACAGGAGATGACCAGAGACTGCGGACACAGTACAGGAGATGACCAGAGACTGCAGACACAGCACAGGAGATGACCAGAGACTGCGGACAGTACAGGAGATGACCAGAGGACTGCGGACAGTACAGGAGATGACTGCTGACCTACAGGAGATGGGGGGGGGGGGGGGGGAGCAGGTACCTGAATTTGACAGGTACCCGCTCTTACTTCCGCGGAGTTGTTCTTTGATCTTACCTGTTCCTCTATCCAGCGGCGCGCTGTCTTCCCGGCTTCTGTAGTGTCGGCGCTCGGCATGACAGCCAGGTGCCCAGTGCGCAATAGCGAGAAGCACTTGCGCTTTGTGATTGGTCCGGCGGCTTCTGGGATCTGTCATGTGTCCCAGGTACTGCCTTACCATTCACAAAAAGCACCGCTTCTTGCGCATGCGCACTTGGCACCCGGCTGTCAAGCCCAGAGCCCACACTACAGAAGCCGGGAAGACAGCACGCCGCTGGATAGAGGAACAGGTAAGATCAAAGAACAGCTCCGCGGAAGTAAGAGCGGGTACCTGTCAAATTCAGGTACCCGCTCCCCACCTCCCCAAAGATCAGCAGTCATCTCCATAAGGTCCCGCTGCAGAGCTGAGCTGACACGGCGGTGGTGGAAATACCGGACCGACCGCTCTATATTCGCTCCATAAGACGCACTAACATTTCCCCCCTTTTTTGGGGGGAAAAAGGTGCATCCTATGGAGCGAAAAATACGGTATTTAGCAGTTTTATATTTACTAAAATAATTGCATTTCCATTTTGTGTGTACTTTAGAAGACCAGATATAGCGAATGCAGGGAATGCATTAAGGTTAAAAAAAAAAAGTCTTGACTTTAGAACCACTGCAACTTACAGTTTTGACTGAAGCATGCTATAAAATTACAGTGAGCGAAAAGTGAACCTAACCTTTCCATGTTGGCATCATTCCTCATTTGACATGGTTTGCGAGTCACATAGGAATACTTCTTCGCCCCCACCACACAGAAGAGCAAGTCAGACAGGGAGCGGATGCACAACTCCTGCCAGCCCCGCAGTGGCCCATCTGCATGGGTTGCATGTTAAATGAGCCATAATTAGAGTTAATTTCTAATTAGTAGCCTGCCAGCTGCATGCTGTCTCCTAAACTCGGAAAACACACTTGTCTTATGTCTCTTTATATTTCCCTGCTTAAATGCTCCCCCACTTTATTATTACCAATTATGTATGTGTTTATAATAAACATTCCTAAAGAGGAACTCCGCTAGGTGATGTCTGCATTTACGCTAAACACATAACATAACCCAGTTACCAAAGCAACAGTCCTGATAGGTTTGTAGGATAATTACTATAATGTTGGGGGCAGACAGAACATGGCTTCGTTAACTGCCAATGATCTAATAGGAGGGAGGGCACAGACATCAAATTATACACCATGTCTGTCTCAAAGAACAGCATCAGCAGCCCCCAGCTTCAGGAACCAGCACAACGGTTTAAAAATCAGGTTAAGGATTTAAAGAGCTCGGCCAAAAGACAGGATATCTTCTTACATAACATTATGTATAGTGAACGCAACAAAAAAAAAAAATTCGGTTAGCTCCCCATTATCAGCACTTAAAGTGGAGTTCCACTCAAAAGCGGAAGCTCCGCTTATTTGCCTCCTCCCCCCTCCACTGCCAAATTTGGCACCTTTTGGGGGGGGGGGGGAGCTTTCACAGGTCCCAGAAGACTGACAGACCAATTATTAGGCGCAGCGCGACTCGCGCATGTGCAGTGGGCACCAGGATGTGAAGCCACAAGCTGCCAGAGCCTGGTGCCCACAGTTGAGATGTCAGCGCCGTGGAGGAAAGAAGGGGGGAGAAGGGACGGCGTGGGTGAGAACATCATTGGACTCTGGGACAGGTAAGTATGTGTTTATTAAAGTCAGCAGCTACAGTTTTTGTATATTATATAGGGCGCGCTTGTTGGAGCCCAACCTCTGTAGCTGTAAGATAAAGGTGCCAGATGGATATCAGGGATGGATGGATGGATGGATGGATGGAAGCAGCAACACTGAGGCAGCTCTTCTTAAAGTGGAAGCAAGGCTCTAATGCAGTAACAAGAAAAAGAGAGGAAGGCGCCTCTAAGTGCAGTATTAACAATTTATTAGTAGACAATGGAAAATTTGCACTTACAAGATAAACGGTTAAAAAAGACTCATCGTGTGGTCCAGGTGGGACATCCAGCCGTCCAGCAGCAAGCTATGGATCAGGAAGTAGAGTCCAGCATGTGCCTGTGCATCAAAAATGAAGCTTGGAGAGCAGAGTCAGATGTAGCAGGTGAAAGGGGCGGTAATGCATTTCGGAGCATGCTCAATAGGCTCCTTCTTCAGACCTCATTTTCCATTGTCTACTAATAAATTGTTAATACTGCACTTAGAGGCGCCTTCCTCTCTTTTTCTAGCTATAGTTTTTGTAGCTGCTGACTTTTAAGAAAACACAAAAAAAGGTGGAACTCTGCTTTAAGCTTTTCTGGAAGCGCATCAACGCCCAAGATATGGATTTCCATTGTATCCTATGATGCCCGTTCGAACCTCAGCAGCGGCTGCTTGTCGCTTAAAGCTCGAAAAAGTAACTGAGCTTCTTTGGGGCAGTCATCTGTTTTTGGTCTCTATCAACTTCAATGGGAGCGCCTGAAAAAACATGAGTAACGCATCTTTTTTCCAAAACGTCTTGCCTCTACTTCACCTAATAACTAGCTTTCCATTGGCTAAACGGAAAAAAGGCCTGAATAAATATGTGTACAAATACACATTTATTCAGGCCTTAAAAAGAGAAGTTTGTTTTTTTTCCCCCAAAATCCTAATTACCTAGGGGGTAATTACGCCAGCTCTAAGCGATCACATGACCCCTGATCACTGAGTTCTCACCGCCGCTGTGAGCAGAGAGTGTCTGCTCTGCTCGCTGAGAGGCCAATCCAGGTGCCGCTCCAGACTCTGGATTGGCTTAATGATGTCAGCCTGCTGTCAGCTGAAAACAGGTCACAGGAGTGCAGAACAAACTTCACTCCTGTGATCCACAGAAGTAAAGCCAAAAGAGCTTTGGCTGTACTTCTCCTTTAGAGAAGTTCAAGTGTGAACCTAGCCATATTATATACATACGAGGTGTGACAAATTAATTCCTGGAAACCCCGTGGCGTAACACTATGGTGGCGCGTCACACAGCCATTCGCACTCGACCATGCTCTGACATGTTCTAACTTGCACTTGCCTGTGTTGCAGACCGGTTGACTCAGTCTTTACAAAGTAGTAGAAGAAATAACACATATGAGCTTTGCGCTGTTGGTGGAAAGTGAGTGAGAGGAATCTGGAGCAGCAGATTAACATCAAATTTTGCGTGCAAATTGGCAAAGGTGCGAGAGAAACTTTAGCTGTGTTACAACAGGCTTATGGTGAAAATTCCATGAAGAAATCAAGTGTTTTTGAATGGCATAAGCGGTTTAAGGAGATGCAGGAAAACAAATTCAACTCGCCCGAAGGAAGCATGCAGGTCTTGTTCTCAGTTCAAAACCATGCAGTTGTGTTTTTTTGATCACAAGGGGATAGTTCACTATGAGTTCATAGATCATAGCACAACATTCAACAAACATTGTTATTTGGAAATTCTGAAACGTTTAGGAGACTCTGTTTGTAGGAAAAGCCAGAACTATATGACCTGAAAAGGGGATTCTCCACTATGACAATGCTCCTGCACATGACGAGCATGTTCGTGAGTTCCTGACCCAGAAATCCATTCTGAAACTTGACCAACCACCTTATTCTACTGACTTAGCACACCGAGAATTTTGGCGGTTTCCAAAATTAAAAAATGCCTTCAAAGGACACAGATTTCATCACATTCCGGACATCCAGTGCCCAGCAACAAAGATACTATGAAGGTATAGTCAAGCAAACCTTTTTTCCATTCCAGAAATTAAATGGTCACACCTTGTATATACAGACAGACATACATACACACACACTTCCCCCACGCAATTTATTCCTTACACATTGCTAGTTTTGAGGTGATGAATGAGATTTCCAAAGTCCCATCAGATGCAACTACAAAGTATTGCTCTTTATGATCAGTGTAACTCACTGTACAAGCTGAAGACACAACTGGCAACAGTTTCCCAAGAGTGGTCAGGTAGGGGCTCAATGCGGGAGCCACCATGGGACACCTACTTTTCCTTTAGAGGAAAGAATCGTTCTGGATTCATACTTTAAGACTCTGAAAAGAAGCTTGGGAATAATTTTGAAGGCCACGCTGGACCTCCTATAGCCATATGATAAACACAAAGGCTAGCAAATGAGATGAACTATGGGCAAGGAATTATCCTTCAAGTTTACAAGGATGCTGGTGTTTTTCTGCATTATTGTCTCTTATTCGAATTAGATTTCCCTCACTGCACACACAGGACTACTTTGGTTTAGGAGCTTACTTTTCATTTCTCAGCTGAACATTAAATGAATCTGCATCCTGCACAAACATGGACTGTCCATCAAGTCCCAGGAGGTAAGGGGAGAACCAGCTAGAAGTGTCCACCATCAAGAAGAACAGTGTTTCTAGGAGTTTGTGCACCAATCCTCCCACAATTCTAAGAGTAAACTACCAATACTTCTGCACCATAAAGAAGATTGATCATGTATACTGTGACCAAAGCTTGCTTAGTCTTCATGTAGCCTTCCCCATCTGGATTGTCTGCATCTCCCTATTGGTCAGTGAGGCTACCCATCACATTTACTAAATAATACAAAAGGCAGGAAGGGCAAGGTTATGTGGATGCCATGCAAGCTCTGGTTGCAATCTTAGTCACTGAAGAACCTGGGATTTCAGGCTCTTGCAGTGGTCTACAAAGCTCCAAAACATTCATGTAGGCACCAAGAGACACCAGTTAACCAGGATAAGGTCTAGCTGCCGCAGAGTGACAAAGTGATGCTAACTTCAGCAACCAGTCAGGTCAGTCTAAGACTGACTGTAAAAGAGAGAGTCCTACAATATCTTCATTAATAGAAAAGGCTAAAAAAAAAAGTGCCAGCTTTTATTTTTAGTTGCATGGTCTACCTAGCTCATGGGCATTACCATGAAATAAGCCAGCCCTTAACTGATCATAAAATCATGCTAAGACCTTCTTATACACAAACGCATGTACGTACAGAAATAGACATTCCCCCAGGCCTCTGCTTTTTGCCTTGCTTGGCTTCAGTGATTCCAAGCAAATTTTATGGGCTTAACATTAAAGCCAAAAAAGAGAAACTAAAAACGTATCCAAAAACCAGTTTCCATGAAAACTTTGTGAAAACAAGTCATTTGTGTGTGCGCTCCTCCCACGGTCCTATGTAATTATACAGTAAATTATTACCTTGAAGGCTTGACCAGCTGCTTTTAGTTAGGTCTTGTTTTTCATTAGCAGAATATTTATAGTATATGTTGTGTACAATAGACATTGTTCCATTTAAAAAGACCAAAATAATGACAAATTATTTACTTCAAATAGCATAGCTTGGCTAAATTTTTCACAGTAAAAAAAAAAAAAAAAAAAATTGTAAGATTCATATAGGATAGTTGTAATGCCAGGCCTGAAGGATGTGGGAACATGGGGTGTCTATTAGGTCCTACAACATATGGAACATATGATACTTCATTACATCTTTCATAAATGGCAGACAT